GAAAAGGAGAAAATAATCCTTAATTCTTAATGATGAAATTGTGTTATATTTATGTTTAATGATAGCAAATCTGAAGAGATTTCTTTTAAAGATATCACTCAAGAGAATGTTTTAAATCTCTCTTAGCCTTTTAAGTTTTGAATTGAGATATATTTTCCAAAAGAATATAGCACATTTATAGTTAAAACCATAACTTTAATAGACAACAATTAATACTGCATAAAAAGTATAATTTCCCTCATAAATATTAAATAGTTACATTGAGAATAAAAAGGATGAGAAAATATTGTTTTCGTTAAAACTTTATTAGCATGGTTTGCAGTGATTTGACAATGAAACTGATCATATATTCAAGAACGAATCTCGATGACAACAAGTACAGGATAAGGTGGTGACATTGTTCTTATATTCTGTAATTGTTTGCCTTTGTGTGAAGGTGTAACTTATAATAATATAAAATCTCATAAATCTTTAGGTGAGTGAAAAGAATTACTTTGTTAAATCTTATTTTTATATGAGTGGAAATAGTTATTATATTAAAAATATTTAATAATTTCTCTACACGATAATGAAATAATTTACTCGATTAGTGTATTTGTATTGTGATCCCTCAATGAAATGGGGCTCCATTTACTTCTTTTTTTTTTTTAAGATATAATTATACCAATGAAAGATAACTCAAATGTAAATAATATTATTGTTTTTTTAATTATGAGTTCTAAACTCTCTTTTTATAAATAAATAAAAAAACAATGTACTCACTTTATAAAGTTTTCTAAACTCTAAAAATTTAACATTCGATGACTAAATATGAAAAAAAATTTATAATTTTTTTTTTAAATATAAATATTCTTTGTATATAATACTTGGTAGCTTAAGGATCCTAAAAAATAGATGTTCTCGAATGACTTTACTTGTGACATACATAAAATTAGAAAATAAATCATATTAGACCATTGCTTCATTTCATTTACTAATGTTTAATAAATATATGATCAAAATTAATTTTATAAAAAAAAAAAATTAAGAATGTTGATCTTAAATTAATTTTTAATATGTTATATTTTTTTATTACTCTTTTATAAGTTTTCTTCTTATTATTGTATTTATCACATTATCATCCTTGTATCATGATAATCATTTTATTCATAATCTAGTTTAAGTTGTCATGGTATAATTTATTCCTTACAATTTTAAAAATTGATTAGTCAAATCCAATCACTTTCATTCAATGTTCCTTTCACGTCAGGTTATTTCATAACTTTTTTCACTTCATGAATATATTCACATGAATTCCACATGATTTCCTCCGTTTCAATTGGTAATATACCATATCATTGTATTTTCATAATGTACTACACATTATCATTTATGTGATTAAACTACAAATTACATACTAATTTCTATCTTTAAAGCATATTCCTTCCATTAAAAATAACAATAATAATATATGATATAATTTAATTACCATTGTAATTCTAATGATTATAAAAATATGTATAAATAATTAAAAAAGCAAGGGAGGATCAACCTACCTTTAAGGCATATTCTTTCCATTAAAAATAACAACAATAATATATGATATAATTTAATTATCATTATAACTCTAACTATTATAAAAACATGTATAAATAATTAAAAAAGTAAGGGAGGATCAACCCCTTACCTTCATTATTACTATCAAAGCTTATGAAAAAGTTGAGTTTTTTTTTTTTGAATGCTTCTTCCACAACTTCCAACCAAATAATTATTATTACTTACCCTCTAAATTAAAATTATAGCATAACCATACTATGCATCTCAAACTTCTCTCTCTGTCTGTCTAAATCCATTGATCGATTTCTTTAGCATTTTGTTAATTCCATCGACCAATTGAAACAATAGTGATTTTAATTGTTCATTTTAACAAACGATTAATTAGATTAATTTGTAAATCTAATTAGTCAACTAATTTAAGCAGAATCATACAATTTTTGTTATTTATTTTTTATTTTTATCGAGTCATCATTAACTTCCATCGCATTATATTTTTACAAATAATTCATAATTTTCCTTGCTAATATTAATCAACAACGAATCACTAAAATTTTCATATCAATCACTTAACAATTTATCAATAACCATTAAATAACCAACTTTTTCATCCCAACACTCTATATTAATCAATATGTTATTTTCATCTCTTATCTTATCTTACTTATTCACAACACTTATTTTTCATTTTAAATATATAATCATATCAAAATGTATCAATTGTATAAATTTCTAAGCACAAATTTCACTTAATTTAAACCTTCTATATATATATATATATATATATATATATATATATATATATATATATATATATATATATATATTAAAATCACAACATATCAAGAAATCTATTACAATTAACACATGCTTTCATTATATCATTCCATTATTATCACCCTCATGTAATTATTAGTAATCACCAATAATTACACAACAATTATATAATCTCATAGTTTTCACTTTTTTTTTCTCATGAGTGATTCCACCAACTTCAAATCACTAACCATTTCTTTTCATTTAATTCATTCAAAATCCATATTATTAACATTTATTTTTCATATACTTGTCTAAAAACAAGACAATCAAGCAATCCTCCTATTCTTTTTACTTTATTTATTTTATCATTTACTCCATTTCATTTCATTTTAAAACACATGTATCTTATTCAATATCCATTGCTTCTAACTTTTGAACACATGTAAATTACAAAAATTAAATAATAATTTAAGGTAGTTTACCTCTCATTATTCTTTCTTTATCTTCGTTAAAACTCCTCCACAAGTACAAACACCCAAATTTCTTCTTTATACATTCATAAAAGGTCATTCATATATACTCCACCACAAAATTTCTCAATGTTTCTAAGTTTCTCCTATGAATCCTAATTTAAAAATCTAAGAATTATGCATTAAATCCTTTTCTTCTCATTCAAAATTGTTTAAATAAGCTTAGAATTTCTAACCCAACAATAAAATAGATTTTAAAAACTAACTAGCCAAATTTCATCTTTTTTGCTGTTTGTTATAGTTTTGATTTTCTATTCTCTCTCACTTAGTTTTCTATTAAATATTTACTTGATGCGTTGGTTGGTGTTTTACACATCCTAACTCATAAACCTTATCCAATTTATATGTTTCTCTCAAAGTTTTTTACTATTTAGCTTCTAACATTATTTTCTCTCTTTCTATTCTTTATTTCAAGTTATGCCAGCAATTTAAGGAAGAAGAAGAGGCTGACTTTTCCGGCTTTAAAGTTCAATTGACTATTTTATCTTTAATGAGCCATTTTTAAATTTTTATTTTGCTGTCAATATTTTTGTATAACCTTCCTAAATCACGATCATCTTGAAATTCACCCTACCATAAATAAATATTTTATGAGATTTCTTGTAAAATTTCAGTTTAGTCCAATAATTGAATTGAAAGTTATAATTAATAATGTAAAATTAGTGGGCATGTAATTTTATGTCAAAAATTCAAATTTTTATATTGCTTTATCTACTTAAATCATCAAGATTTTTAATTAATTCTTTGAGAATTTCCATCCTTATTTATAATACAAATGTTTCTCATATTTCATTTTCTTCCGAATTAAACACTAAGTGATTGCATGTAGGCTAACACTAGAGATCAAAGTTATTTGCATGTAAAAATATATATTAATTTATTTTAAAATTTTAAAATACTTTTCTAAATGTTTTCACCCTAAATTTATAAACATTGTTCATATTAATCAATTTTTTGGGCTACGGTCTACATTATACTATTTATATTTGGTGGGTCATATTTTTTAGATTTAAATATATTTTTAATACTGAGTTTAACTAGATTACATCAAATTTCATTAAATTATATCCCAAAACATCACTTTCTCTTTTTATCTCTTCCATTTGATTTTTTATCTGCACTTCTTTGTTTTTTTTTTTTTGAACCTTTTCATAATTTTAATACTTTTATTTTTAAGTTAACACATGAATAATTTATTTCATTTTTTCAACCCAAATTCACCCTTTTAATACCAATACTTGATTACTCACTTAACATAAAATTCTCGATTATTAACTTTGTGGATTTTATGTAGGGGATTAAAAAAAAGACATATACTATCCTTTTTGAAGCCAATTTTATGTGCACCGATCATTATAAATTTCCAAAGCACATCCATAAATAAATAAAATTTATTTAAAAAACAAATTCAAGGAATTTGGTTTCAAAAAATAATTCAATTTCATATAAACAAGTCGAACATTTATTTTCATTCAAATCCTGACATGAATTATTTAATTATTACCTATATTTGGAACCTCACATAAAGCATTACGATTTGTGCACACCATAAAAACATAGCTTTAAGGAAATTGAGATACTTTATCAAATACAGTGATTAATTGGTCGGAAGTAGCATCTAGTTAGACGGCTAGGATCTGACCAAAAAATTAAGATTCAAACTTACCTTATTCAACTTTTTTTTTCCCTGCAAAATTCCAAAGAAGGATCGTGGAATTTGCCGACCAGTCTATATATATATCCTATATTGTAAGGCACGAATACAAACAAATAAATCGATATAATAAACATCAAATTTAGAAACAGAACTAGAGAGTGAATTGACTTAAAAAAATTAACTGGATGATTATGTTACAGTATATATATTAATTGATTAATTAATTAAAACGTCTTATCGAATCAGTACCGAGAGAGATGATTCATATATTTAGGTTTTATGCTTACATTACGTGCCACTTGATCCCTACTTACCGACAAACACACCCGATTAATACGTAAAATGTTACTATTGTCTATGCATCAACATGGACAAGTCTTAATCATTATATGTTTGATGTAAATTTATGTTTTGGTATCAACCTTTGTCATGTCAAAGAAGACAAACATATACATACATACATACCTATATATATATATATATATATAAAATGAAATCTCATAATAATTAATATATATAGATTACGCTTAAAAAAGGCTTTGCTAGTGCAAGTCCCTTTTATTATACCAACTTAATTACTTACATTACCTAACTCTTATAGCATATCTTAAAATTGATACATGCTAACCATTGTTTGATCCATGAGCGATCAAAGTCTACTAACAAATTATTAAACTGAAAATAGATATAAATCGGTTTACGGACCGGTTCCCATGATCATCTAATTAATTAATATTACATAATTAAACTCCTTATTATCGCTGCTTCAGGACTATCAGCATCAATTGTTGCCAAAAGCTGAGACAATCGCTCACTTAAGTCATCAACCTCCCTGTGCAAGTTCCTGATATAATTGCAAGTCTCTTGTAGGACCTTGGAAGCTGATGCCTGTGTATATATACGCATTCAAGAAAGTCAAAATTCAAATTAGTCACAAGCAATTATTACTTTTTGTGAATCAAGCCAAACCCTTTCTAATTAATTTACGTTACAAGCATTTGAGAAATTATATATGTGTATATATATATATATATATATATATATATATATATAT